AGAAGGAAGAGCAAGTGCAACAGCCTGAGGCCAAGTGTGGCTTGAGGGGCTCAAAGCAGAGCAAGAATGGAGAGCGAGCCAAAAGCACAGAACATTCGAGGTGTGCCTACGAGGGCCCTGGGCAGCAGGCAAGGCACTCGAGGTGGCTGTCTGGGAGGGAGGTCCAGGCTGACAGCAAACAGAGGAAACATAGGAAAAGCCGAGCTGGGCCCACACAGTCACAGCGGGTGGCAGGGGAGAGTTGGGGCCCTGCAAAGAGGCCCAAGGGAAAAGCGCAGCTACCAGAGACCAGCAGAGAGACCAGGTGAGGGCAAAACGAGAAATGCAGTTAGCAGCAAAGGCCAGCGAGACTGGTCTTGAACCCCAAAGGACAACGGAGAGCCATAAGAAGTGGGGCCTCTATTGACCATGTTCATTTTAGAAAGACCAGGCAGGGTGCAGAGAGCTGACTGGGGTTGGAAACTGGAGTCAGATCATAGTTTCTGATGAGTTGGCCTCCACAGACAGCAGCAAAACACACCTGAAAAATTAAAATGTGGAAACACTGCTGATATAGAAATATACTCTTTAACAGCAAAATAAACTTAATTCACAGTGACTCTTTCAGTGGCAACCCAGTCAACTTAAACTTTGAGATCCCAACCCCTTCCAGTAAGAGAAAACATTGTTTCCCTGCATACCCACCAGGGAAGTTTCACTATAGAGGGTTCTGAGCTACAGGCCAACACTCAGCTCAATGGACACTTTGCAATTTCTGTACTCCTTTCTTTTGTTGAAACCATTATATATTACAGAAATTAAGATAACTTGAAAAAACTCATCTGTGGCTATTTGCTTTCTGGAGGACAGACAAGAGCAGAACTAATTTGAGGGCTGTCTTGATTTCATAACTAGCAAACCAAATGTCATCAAATCAACTCCCTCAAAAAGCTATATTGCAAACGACAGACAGATGCAAAATGCTGATGAGTTCCTGGGAAGCCAACTTTCCTCCCCAAAGTGCTTACTATAAATAGCCATTCCTATAGCAAAATTAACAAATCACATAAGGATAGTTTGTAAAGTATGAGCCTCATGCTCTAGAACTTCCATGTCACCTCTTGCTTTTTATTTTGTACTTTCTTTTCACCTTGTTGGTGATACACAGAGCTACAGCAGACATATCACTGCTTCATCTTGGGGGTAAGTACAGGTCTGTTCTATACTTGTTGTACTTACATGCTTGCACTGTTGCATAATTTTTATTTAACACTAGAGTTAGCTATGATGAGAAAAGGAAAGGAAACAGGCCTGCCTGGCAAACACAGTCTTGGCTCATTAATTAAGGCAGAGTAACTTTAGGCCAGTCCCTTAACTCTCCATATTCAGCTTTTTCCAGAGGGTCCTTTCCTGCTCCAGCATGGCTTATAAAAAAGAGAGGCAAACAGGCCAAATGCTGGCATTAAAATGGTTGGTTGTTTCTCCTAAGTCATATGCCCATTTATTCAGCATTTACTGAGTGCGAGCCATGAGGAGGCACCAGCAGAAGTTAGGCTGCCCAGGCTGTGAGATTCCTAACTCCAAGAGCTCACCCAACTGGGGAGAAAGGACACACATGGCCATTAAAAGGCTAGGTACTCTGCACTAGACAGGACAAGTGGTGGTCCACACCCAACAGGAGTCCACAAAGAGGCCTGCAGTCAGGACAGGGCACCACATATTCAAAGAATAAGGACATATTTACTGAAGTCCAGCAAAAAAGAACAGTGAAGCACAGGAGACTATGATGCTTATCTGAAACTGCATACATTCCACATCCAAGCAGTCCACCAAAACAAAGAGAACCCCTGTATAGCAGAACAAGTGAGGATGAAGCCTTGTATCTTCAGTTTCCACTGATTAATTAAAATGTCCACTTAGAAAGGTTATCTGTCTGGATTAAAGAAGGCAGGGCAGAATAAATCCAGATCATGAGCTTCAGCATCATCTTAGCACATCCTTTTATGTGCCCGGTGACAAGAACTCCCCATCTGGCATAGAGCACGTTTTATGACAGTGTTTTCTATCGTCATATCAGCACTTCTTAAGTCTAATTCCCCTTACGTGTACTTGTTTTAATAACTGAAACATCAACCCACAAAAATCGAAGTAATTAACTAGTTTATATTCTGCCGTATAAGTAAACCTTTTAAAAGCTGGACTACTTGTAGGAGGGGAAGCCCTCTGAATAGGAGGAAGGTTCTACCCACTCTTCCTTAAGGAGGACAGGGTCTCTAATATCTGGCTTCAAATGCTGCGGTTCTCACTTCCTCTCTACTCGGGTCCTCATGTTCAAGCAGGTCCTATTTGATGGCTCTGTATAGCTTGGCTGCATAAAAACCATAAGCCTAGTTGCCACACTGGTAGCTTGTTTACCTTGTTTTCCTGTGTGTTTCCACAAACTTCATGTGATTATTTATGGGCACACACAAGAATAAACTGCCCATCATTCTTCAAAACTCATGAAGTTACTTATCTGATACTCTTAAATAGGAATGTTTACTGCTGGAATCACAGACCAGTCTAATTAGTAATAATGGAGTCAGGAGGAGAGGATTTTTATATTGAATAGATCAGAGTTGTTCACAAAAGCTTATGCAAACTCACAACTGTATATAGCAAGACCTCCCTTTACCAAACATCAGCCCCAAACTGAAGGCTGTGGGGCGTCTGAGAAAATGGAAGAAAAGGAAAGGAAATGACTCAAAGTAATCGTGCTTAAGGCATGAGTCCTCTTCACTTCCAGCAGGCAGTTTAGATTTGAACTATGGGCGGGTGCGGGGTGCAGGAGCGCACATTAAGTACAGGAGGAGAGCTGTGCTCACTGGACTTGCCTCATTGTTGCTCGGATCTGCGCTTTTTTAGTACTGATGCTCTCATCACATTTAAATATGTAAGACATTTAAAACATTTGGAAAAATAAAAGACTTAAAGTCCCAGCTGCGGAGATGGTGTGGCTTCTAACATCTTCCATTATGTGGAAATAACGT